CAAGAAAAGCCTATGAAAAGCAAATGTCCACAACAAATGTCAAAGATGCCTGTAGGAAGGTATGACGATTAGTCAAAACTCCTGCAAATATGGGCGTGTAGCTAGCGCAGCGGTTAGCGCTCACTACCCATGTACGGAGGCCTTAATCCTCGACCTGGATTCGAATCCGACCTCTGGTCCTTTGCCGCCTGTCCCTCCCCTCTCTCATATCCCCTTTCCTGTCAGCCAACTGTCAAAAAAAAAATGAGCCATTAGTGCTGCAAAAACTCAAAAAAACAAAAAACACCTGCCACTATAACATTTTAGAAATATGTGCTTTAAAAAACCAAACACATAAAACTACATCAAATTGTGCCAAACGCTGTAACAATAGACTATAATGTATGTTGAAATATTGGAAATGTAATAACATTATTTTTATTTATACCACAATGTTTATTGATGTTGAATAATTTCCCACCTCTATAAGTAATGACTGTCAAAATGGCTTACATTTGGAGCCCCTTACATCTGTGATTAAAAAAAAAATAATAATAATAATAAAAAAATCTTCTTTAAGCACATACAGCACAGGAAAACCAATTAATCCAAATTGTTTGGATGTATAATTTTTAGGGACACTATCTGTTCGTTTTCATGTAAAATAATTTTATTAAAGACCTAAAGAAATTTATTTAGTTAGTCTATTTATTTATTATTTATAATAGTGGTTATTCTGTCAATGATCTAAATCGAACTCAAGCGCATAACAAAACTTGAGAGCAACAGCCGTCATTAGATAAATATAATTTTTCCTGAGTTGCTGTAATTTCAGACCAGTAACAACGTTCTGTGTTGCCTCTGCAGGGTTACTTGTTGTATCGGGACACAACTAACCACAGTATGTCGGCCATCAAGATTAACCCCGAGACCCTGGAGCATGAGGGTGGTGTTACCATGCCAGGTACAGACCCCCCCCATCCGCCTCTGCTCAGTGTCATCAATTACTGTTAAGGTACACCAACATGAACTTAAATAACTCCATGTTCCCTTTTTCTCTTGCTCCAGGTCAACATTCAGACGGACAAAACATCATATTTACAGATGGAGAATACATTAACCAAATCGCAGCTTGTAAAGATGTAAGTTTTCTTTTTCTTTCTTTTTTTTTTAGCACCTAATTTTGTAGAAAAAAATTCAAATATTTCTCAAACCCATTTGAGAAACTTGCTAATGTGCTTTGAAAGATAAGGTGGCAGATTTTCTGTTGGATATTAATATATTTTTTTTAATAGTGGGGTTTTATAGGACCTGGATTCATTAAGAAACAGCTCAGTCTATCTTTTTCAGAAGCTAGAAAACATATTTGGGGACTGTTTCAGTCAGCCTTCGTAGTGCTCAGCAAGCTGGTGAGAGGAGGCTTTACTCTGTGCTTCAACAACAAATAGATACTGCGCTCAATCTGTCACTTTCTAAAACATATAAAAAACTCTTAAAGCAATTCTAAAATAACCTTTTAAAAAACTTCTTATAGTTTGACACAAACAAAAGCCCACATCTACCCTAAACCACATGGCATCACTAACTTCAGGCAACAATAAAATAAGACAATTCAATTGCAGACATGTTTATTCTAAATCCGATATTTTTATTTTTTTTAATTTATTTATGACTGGTAGTGCTATAAAACAGCATATCCATTCAAATAATCTTTGAATAATAGATTTCTTAGTCAAGCTGAATTGTGATGTGACCTTCTCTGTATAAAATGCATTTAAATCTGATTTGGTCATCAGTTGTGCCACAGTGGGGCTTCTCAGCTTATCCCTTTATTTAGACGTGCTCTGCATGTGCAGACGTGCAGCTGTGGCCCCACATGTGTGAACTCTCCAGAGAGCTTATCCTCTCATGCAAGGGTACTCGATAATGGGAGTGTTGGGGGGAGGGGAGGGTAATATGTGAAATCCATACATCCACTGTTGCAGGAAGCCAATTGCCCACCTAATCATACATATGGGAGTACTGCCTGAAGGGATGGAGTTTGCATTTAGCTGCACAGACCACTTAGAGTTGAATTGTCTGCTACAATATTTTCTCTTCCTTTAGAGAAATGAACGCCCAATACATAACAGTGAATATCACCATAATTAGTTATAGTAGTTTTATTTATTTTTCTGTTCTCCTAAGGTCTATTCTTGTTTATAATTCTATGAATTTATGATTTTATCTATACCACCTTATCCCTGCCTGATGTAACATCTTAAGTGCATAATCATGACTAAACCACATAGAGCCGAGTACAATAGGATTTGGATGAAGATACTATTGGCTCTTAAGAAAAAATATATCATCTATATCCATATATTTTTACAGAAGTGTATTGTATTCACTTGAAAAAAAAGGTCTGTTTTTCTGAATTGATGAGGTGATTTTTATTTAAATAAAGAAAAATGTTTTTGTTATAAATTCACACATAAACCGTGAAGAGAAGAGGGAGTGGGGAAGCAGCCGTGCAGTGAGTAGCACCCAACACGCAGGTGTCTCTGCATTGCTGACAGATGAATAGTGATTGTATCTACATAAACTGATAGACAAGAGAATTTCTCTGTGTTTGAATCACAAAAGACAGTAATTATGAATTTAACTCAACAAAAGGTGTGTGTTGATGCTGCTTTTTGAAGGAAAGGGATCTTTGGATTTGAAATCTCCAGTGCCAAGTGTCACAGAACATCTACTATGGAAGTTTTTGTTTATTTATAAAAAAATATATATATATATCTAGTTAATTCAGAAAAACATATATATTTTTTTCTAAATGAGTGCAGTATGTATATTTGTCATCTAAACCACATGTTCAGCATGTCGCATCAGATTTCAGCAGCTAATAAGTCTAGACATGCTCGCCTTTCCACATTTTGTCATGTTATAACCACAGACTTCAATCTTTCTCTTTGAGTTATTTGTTACAAAAAGTAGCCCATAATGTCATACAGTATGGTACATGGATATCAGGCTCTTGCTTAGAAATGATAAAAGTTCACTATTTAGATTTATTTAGCCTGTTTTACTCTGATGCCCTTTGGAAACATGAAGAGCAGCTGATTTAACATTAATAAATCAAAGTCCAATTGTGTGCGATTTCGTCTAATAAACCCAGATGTTCTGTGAAGGCCTTAAAGGTAATGTGGAGGATTTTCGCGAAACACCCGCCCTCTCCATTTTAAAAAAAGTGCACATGCACAAACCTGTACCCTCCAGGGAGCATGCATGAGTCCATTTCTCCTTTTTCACGCTCTGTTTAAAAGTTTTTGTTCTCATAGCTCATACAAGCTTACTGTCTGAACGTCCGCTCTAACCCCTATATCCCTTAATCACTATATAGACCGGGGACTATATAGTGGAGTTTATAGTGAACTCTGGTAACTTGCCATTGTGACAGATGATCAATGTTTTTTGCTCCCCGCTGGTCACATAACTCCTTCCCAATCCGCGGTGCTTGTGCCATTTTTGTTATTAGTCGCCGCTGTCAGGTAGTGGTGAAAGTGGGCTGCTGTTACAGTAAATCCCGTAATGCTTTGCAAGGAGAACTCTCCACACAAAGCATTCTGGGATATATCTACTGAGGCCTTTCTTTTCTTCTCATACACTTCATAGACACTTTTTCTTTTACGACCCTCTGCCATTTTCAAAGAACCGCGGTGAGATAGGTGAGCTTCAATGACTGTCTGAAACCGTAGCTCTTCACACATATAACTGTGCATGCACAGAGAAAGATAGCTAACAGGATGAGCATATAGGACAGCCTTATGTAAACATATCACCAGAATGATTGACAATTGGGAGAACCACTTATTTAGATTGTCCACCCGGAAATAAAAGATCCTCCTCTATACCTTTAATGGTTAATGAAAGATTTTCATCACAAAGACTTAACAGAGCAAACAGCACAGGGATATGAGTGATAAAAGGTAAAAGTAGGGTTACATCCTGGGATTTCAACATATCACTTAGCCGTAGTGGAAAGTGTACAACACAACTGCAAATCTAAAGCTCAGAGGTTTTGGTTGTGATGGCATTTATCAAAGAAGCATCCTGTGGTAACTTGGGAGGAGATATAAACAGCTTAAAAAACCTTTAAAGTGGACACTTCTCTACTAATCTGGCTTTAAGCAAAAATTGATCATCATAAAGGGCTCTGGTGAATATTTTGTTGCACCCGTGGAAAACTATTTGTGGCTTAAACTTGACTCATTTACATACTTAAAAGGCTGTAAGATGGTAAACATTAAACATTTGGCTGACATATTTATGCTTGATATGCTCCAAAGCTCAAATTGTAACACCTTTGTGTTGTGAAGACAAACATTGTTTCCTCCTGTGTGCCCACACTCCTGCAGGATGGCTTTGTTGTGCGGATTTACACCATGAGCTCCGACCCGGCCCTGCAGCAGGAGCTGCAGCTGAAGCTGGCGAGGAAATGTCTGCACGCCTGTGGGATCTCTCTCTTTGACCTTGAAAAGGATCTTCACATCATCAGTAAGTGAAACAAACTGGGCCAGCATACGTCTGTCTGTTGGTGCTGAATGTCATTCAGGTCTTTAGAACTGCAACAAGTGCTCTGTTTTGTATAAAGTGTGTGAATAACTTGTAGATGTATATATATTTTTAAATCATGTTATTCTCCAAGATGACGTATCAACTGTTTATATCTCAGGTACTGGCTTTGATGAAGAGGCAGCGTTGCTTGGAGCTGGCAGGGAGTTTGCTCTGATGAAAACGGCCTCTGGAAAGGTGAGTGGTGAGCTGTCCAAACATTTAACAGTAATGAGGTTAGAGCAGCGTCAACATGTACGCTTTACAGCTTTTATCTTGATAAGGACAGAGCAAACCCCCTGACTCTAGAGTCTTGAAGTATAGATAATATAACTACATGTTTTTTCACTTTTAACATCATATTGCACAATATATTTTATGGATTGAATCTGTATTTACTGAGCTATAGAGGTTACCAGCATTGATCATATGCAGAAGCTTCATACATGTTACTACTCTTTATATATCATATTATTTTAGTAATCATTGTCTTTGTAACTCCTTCTGTAATCTTCTTTTTAAGGTAAATTTTTGACATATTTAGAAAAGAGGCTTATTGAGATCAGAATGCTAACTATGTACTAGGTTCAGGGCATGTTGGAGGGTGTGGTTGTTTGTGCATCTAGTTTAGGTGTGGTGCAGTGTGCCTGTATTGTAGATAGCAGTCCACTTAAACTACATGCAGCACACTGTGTCTGATTGCAAGCACTCTTTATCTGCAGTTTCCCCAACTCCACATCTTATTGAAGTCTTATGTAAGATGTTCCTTATAGTAGTTGAACTTTTTCACTTGTTCAAACTAAAGTAATTAATGTTCATGGTTCAATAAAGTAATTTATATTCAGAAATAAACTGAATTACATTTATTTGTATCTAATTTCTTTTATAAGAAAGCATTACAAAGGAGTAATCTATTGTGAGGTAACGGACAAGTTCATCAGCTAACTTAATTAACTAGCAAGAAAACCTGGCCTTTGCCTGTAATTCACATTGGCTTAATTAAATGTAGATCAATTCTGAATAAACCAAATATTTTCCTCATTTATTCCTAATGAGCAAAATACATACACTGATTTTTATGGGAAATGTGGCTTTTAAGTGTTTGGTTTGAATTGTGGCCACTTTTTAACGATCTAAAGGTCTGGTTGTTCCCTTAAATGATGTCAGTTGACATGATGGCTTCAACACATGAACAACCAAAACATAAAAACTGATAGCAGACTTTCGGTTTTGGCAGAACTTCACTTCCGTATTTATTATTATATTTAAGAAGAAACATTGCCTTATAGTGTGAGGAAGTATTCTCCAACTTAATCTTTTTCAAAGCTTTATCAGCAGTTAAGTTTATTCAGTTGTCCTACAAATATTCGTCAACATGCTATTGTAGTAATTAATTTTAAAACATGTAAAATTGTTTTGTCTTAGATCTACTACACTGGAAAGTACCAGAGTCTGGGCATTAAACAAGGCGGCCCATCAGCTGGTAAATGGGTGGAGCTGCCCATCACCAAGTCTCCGAAGATCACCCAGTTCTCAGTCGGCCATGACGGTTCTCATGCCCTTCTAGTAGCTGAAGATGGGAGCGTTTTTTTCACAGGCTCTGCGAGCAAAGGAGAGGATGGGGAATCCAGTAAGATATTTTCTGACGACATTTAAATCTTTATTTTCTCCAGTGAAATCTAGTAAACTTAGTTTGTTGAATTGAATGAACGTTTGAATTTACTTTTTCAGCTAAAAGTCGCAGGCAGCCGAAGCCATACAAGCCCAAGAAGATGATCAAACTGGAGACGAAGACGGCTGTGTATACAGCTTGTAACAATGGTAGCAGTAGCATCATCACAAAGGATGGAGAGCTCTATATGTTTGGAAAGGATGCGATTTACAGTGACAGCACCTGTAAGTGGACAAAGCATTTCAGGTTTTCTATGAGTTGTTTTCTTTTAAGTTTGACAACTTCTCATAAAAAACATTTTTCTGTCTCTCCACAGGCCAAGTGACAGATCTTAAAGGCCATTTTGTAACTCAGGTTGCCATGGGAAAAGCTCATACATGTGTTCTTACTAAGAACGGAGAGGTGTGGACGTTTGGGGTGAATAACAAAGGCCAGTGTGGCAGAGACACTGGAGCCATGAGCCAGGCAGGGAAAGGTGAACAGACCGATGCAGACAGAACAAATACTTCTAACAGGTTAATTTGCGCTATGATGTTCAGTCTTGTTTATACTTAAAAGGGTCTACTTGTGTTTATTGTAGCATTTGGTGTGGAGAGCATGGCTACTGCTATGGATGAGGACTTGGAGGATGAGCTGGAAGACAAGGAAGAGAAAAGCATGATGTGCCAGCCGGGCATGCACAAGTGGAAGCTGGACCAGTGTATGGTTTGCACTGTGTGTGGAGACTGCACTGGGTATGGTGCCAGTTGTGTCAGCAGTGGGCGCCCTGACAGAGTACCAGGAGGGTAAGCTAGAGATGGAATAAGGCCTTGAATGTGATTTAAGTTCATGGTTATATAATAACACATTTTTTTGTATTTATCTCTGGGTTAGTATCTGTGGTTGTGGTTCTGGAGAGTCCGGCTGCTCAGCATGTGGCTGTTGTAAGGCCTGTGCCAGGGAGCTTGACGGTCAGGAGGCCCGGCAAAGAGGGATCTTTGATGCTGTAAAGGAGATGATTCCACTGGATCTGCTGCTAGGTATTTAAACTCCTGCTTTTTATCATGTGAAATCTTATTTAGAGTAAATATGCACACTAATAAATATAAGCATGGTAGGTGTCAATTAGGGCTGAAACAATTAATGGCATTAATCATGATTAATCGATTATTAAAATAATTTTCAACTAATTTAGTAATCGATTACTTGTTAACTGAGTATAGAGACAATAAAACATGCTTTTAGCTGACAGAGCAACTCACCTGGAGCAGCAATTATACCAAAATTGCTAAAAAAAATATGTAAACATTTTGCTTTTAAAATAAAAATTTTTTTTGTCTGTCAATATGCTCTACCCAGAACTCCTCAAGTCGAAAAGTTTTTTTCCCACCTAGTTTGATTTCACAAAAAAAAAATAAAAATATTGAAGGAACCTTTGGCTATCCAATTATTATAAAAAAAATCAACAGATTAATCGTTTTGCAAAATAATCATTAGTTGCATCCCTAGTGTAATTTTACCATATTTACTTCCGTACCAGCGGCTGTGGATTGATCTTCAGTTTCCTCAGTTGAGACACTGCCTGATATGTTGCTTTGGAAAAGACTCATCACCAATAAATAGTTATTTTGTTTTTAGAAAGAAAAAAAAAAAGAAGCAGCAGCAGCTACTGTAGGGGATGTTTAGCTTTCTGACTTTGTTTATAGCATGACAGAGCATTAATGTGCTTAAGATAGTGAGGAGTTCAAATAAAGCTCAGTGTCATCTGCATACAAAAGAACTGGAAATTCAGTTCTGCAGCCACAAACAATTGCTCCAGATTCTCTGCTCTCATGTTTAGTCTTTTCAACAAGAAGCCCTAAATTAAGTGCTTGAACTGCGTCATGGTTAATATGTAATTAACAAAATTAGTACATTTAACAGCAAGGATTTGGTTTATGGCATCACCGTTACTGCAGAAAAGCACTCCTGTAAACACAAACACTAACTAAACAGTAAATGGAAAAAATGCAATGTTTTGAAAAAGAAAACTAAAGTAAAAATAATTTTATTAAATGCAACATTGACTTTATTTTTATTTGTGTCGATGACATCTCAGCTTGCCGAAGAATCAAGCTGATCAGCTGCTATTATTCTACTATATGGCAGAGCCATTACTTTTCTCAATTTTTCAGCATAGATTTAGAAACTTTTCTGCTGCATTGTAGTCAGTTTGATCCCCTTAAAAACAATAAAAAAATGTTTCCTACAGTTTTATTATGTCAGTTATACTGATATGTACACCGTATTATAACCAACAGCTGCAACATTTCAGTGCAGCAGCTCAATTATAACAATAAATGTTTTGGGGAAAAATTGATTTAAAACTCAAGAAATAAAAGGAAGAAAACAAAAACCAAGACAAATCTGAATGGAAGTATTTGGAAGAACCTCCATCAGTTGTTATATGCTGTATACATAGTTTCACTAGAGGAATTTGCTTGTAGAAGCTTAAGTTTGGGAGTTCAACAGTAATTAAACAGTAAATCAAATATAAATGTGTCTTTATAGAGCTCTATTTATTTATAAAGTGATAGGTTATTATCTGGATTCCAGCAGTTCTAGAATAATCTCTGCATCAGAAGTGAAAACAAGGAAGCTCGGCTTGTGCCTCTTACTGACCTTACAAACCTTTTGAAGCAGACCCATTCCCCCCATTGGTTTTGTCTCACATAAATCCAGATTAAGTACTTTTTGTGCACATTTAAGAGACAATGGTGATATCAATGTTTGTAAAACTGAGTAACAAAAACAAAATTACTGCCCTATAACATTGTTATTGAAATATACGTAAGCTTTGATTCATTCATTTAAAATTTGTAGACATCTTTTTTTTTTCAACTTCTGAAGAGTTTTTCTTTTGCCTTTTTTCTTATTTTTATTTAAGCTATGGAACTATAACAATGATTAATTTAAGCATACATTTTTTTCAGAATTCAGTGATTATTTTAGAGAAATTTGATTTTAACCGTTTTTTGACCTGCACCCTTTTGCAAACAGCTTTTTTTTGTTTGATAAAGTAGTTTTTTTTAGTAGAAAGGAATTGATTCCTAAAAACCATGAACTTTGCCTGCAAATTGCTGTTGATTGTTTTGTTTTCTATTCTTTGTCCACTCTGGCTAAGCTTGAGTTAGTTTGCAGATTTCTGTTTCCAGATGATCTAAGCTGGTACAAACTTGCACCAAAATACTAGCAGCTGTAACTGCAGCTGTTGGTAGTTCTACAAAGTATTGGCTCAGATATAAGGAACACTTGTTTTTTTGTTGTTTTTTTTTAATTGAAAATCCTTTATTCCTTTCTTTTATTTCACAATTATACTCTAGTTTGTGCCTATCTGCTTCTTAAACTCCCCGCAACATACAGGTTAGGTGTTGATTGGAATAGTTTAGAGCCCTGAAAACATAATACAGTATGTTACCATGTTAGACTAGTTTTTAATTTTCTGAATGCAGTATTTCTTAGACCCAGCAGTGTTCACCCTTTGTTAGGATGCCTGTGTTGCTCATCACTGCTTCTCCATTATGTCTCTCGTTCGCTCATTGATGTTTGTCCTGTTCTGCTCTGCTCTGCCTCATCCTCTCACCCTCGCCTCCATCCCGTTCGGGCCTGTACCCGCGGCCTTTTATGTTTTCAGCTGTGCCTGTCCCTTCCCCTCCAGGAGTTAACATTGAGGAGCACATTCAGATCCGCCAGGAGGAGAAGCGACAGAGAATTAACCGCCGGCATAGGTTGGAGGAAGGAAGAGGTATGGATAAAGGATGGTGGAGAGTGCTTTTAGTTTATCTAAAGTTTGGTGGGGATACTCAGAATATCAGCAGGTGTGATGGATGATTAAAAAGTGAATTAGCTGACACTAGGTACCATCCCTTTGATTATTTTACAGATGTGAGGCCAGAGCTTGGGTGTTGTGTGCTTTGGGGACTTCCCTCTTCCTTGTTACATATTTTTTCAGTGTCTGTGTATTGTTGTGATGTAGTATAACCATGTATTCTGTCCCATTTGTGAGCATTGTGCATGCATGTGAAAGTTTTTTTCTCCCCCAGGCCCCCTTGTTTTTCCCGGTCCCATTTTTATGAACCAGCGTGAGCAGGCCCTAGCCAGAATAAGACCCCTTCAGGCACTCAGGCATAAACGGGACAAGCACAAAGGTACTATGGTCTTCACTAATTTAGTGGGTGCGGAGACGCCCCTTTGACCCATCTCCCAATCTGGCTGTCCCGTCCACCTCCTTTCACTCTCTGAAGGAAGGACTCTTAAGTCTGCACCTGGATTCAAAGCTGTTGGCATGGAAGACTTAGTAGAGCTATTTAAAGACTACTGTTCAATCTTTTTTTTTTTCACACTAGTTTTGATTGTTAAAAAGAGGTTTTTCTCCATTGTCTTTGCTGATCTTTCTGACTTGACAAGAGTTTTTGCCTAATACGATGTTATTACGTAACATCGTATGTAATTATACTACATACTATACAAATTTGAAGATTTATTGTTAGTTCCCACAATAGTTGTCCTCATAATTATTTATTTAAACTCCTCAATCTTGTGTTTCTCTTAAAGTCGGATATTTCTGAGACAGCTGCAGCAGCCAGTACAATCTCTTATTACTTTAACTTGCTTTGTAAATACTAAAAGAATACATAGTTTAAGAGAAGTCAAAGATTAGATATAAAGTAATGTAGTAGAAGGAGAGTGTTGTTTTGAGAGGTTAATTGTTAGAAGTTGGATGAGTTGAGTTTAGTCAGGGACTATGGAAAGAAAACGGATCAGAACATCCCCTCTTTGTTACGTCTGCTCTTTTTGTCTCAGTTATTCTCAGTTATTTTGCTACTGTTAAAAGTTTTTGGGACGTGCCAAAGAAAGTATTTGGTGTTTCCCAAACCGATACAAAATGAAAATATGTATCTGAGGAATGTAGAAAGTTGATTAAAAAGTTATAAAAAAGAATATTACATTTGTAATATTATTACTTTCCAACAACTCTCATCTGTAATTCATGAACCTTACAGATAAATGTTTCTGATCCCTTGCCAGAACGGACAGTCCTGATACTTTTAAAGTCCCCGTTAACCACAACTTATAAAGTTAATTGTGATTCTCTCTTCTGATGTGTCAACAGTTAACCTTAAAATACCAGCTAGAAGAGACTCTATAGATGTTAGGATTTTTGTAATATTTCTTATCTTAACCTGTTTTTTGTTTCTATTTAAAAATTGCACAGTTTAATAGTTTACCATGATTTACTGTGCATATGTTTCTTCAAAAAGCAGAACTTCTACAAATGGTCATCTAAGGCGAAAAAGCAGAGATGATAAATAAGTAAACCTCTTAATGTTAGACGGTTTCATTGTTTGCTTATTGCTATTGCCCTACTTAGCTGCTCAGCCTCTATTCTGTGGGGTACCTTTTGTCTTTTGCAAAGACTTTATTAAGGTTTATAGATTATTAATATGAGATGTGATTTTTAATTTTTTAATTTTTTTTAAGAAGTTGTTTATTTTGCTGCATGACCAACACAAAAACATAAACATAGAGCTCCATGGTTCTAAAGTAACCTAACTAGTGAGAGGAGTCCACTGATGCAGCTAGTTAGCTACTTGTCCAGAACCTTTGGAATTGTGTGCTGTATGCTTCATCCTAAAGAAGAAACAGGACTAGAATGCTGAGTGAGGGCGCTGAAGTAAGAAGTGGAGGATTTCATCACTCTAGACGCCTCCTGCTAACAGCACTGTGTTCAAAGTGTTGAGAAATGGGCTTTCATGATTTTCTTTTTTTTTTTGCACTAATGCATGTGATCACACTTCATTTAGATTACTGGAAATTATGGCACTATGTACAAGCTAAAGATGTGCTAACAAAGAGAGAATAATACAAGAGCAGGGTTTTTTTAGTCCCTCTCTTCTGTTAAAGCATGTTTTCCCTCTTTTGTTTCTTTTGAGGACACTTTTTCCTCTGGCTCCTTTTTCTCAGGAATTTGCAGAGACACCCAGCTCGGCAGTCTTAAGCCGCCACTACATATCTCACTCTCCACCCTTCGTTCAGGTTTGCTGACTTTCCTGTTTTCTTCCTAGATGGCAGCAGTGAGCGCGGAGAGAAGGATGCCAGCAAGATTACCACCTATCCCCCAGGGGCGGTGAGATTTGACAGTGAGCTGCGAGCCGTTCAAGTCAGCTGTGGTTTTCACCACTCTGGTAGGAGGTCTCCTCTCTTATCGCTGCTGAACTTGGTTGCTCGTTAAGATATTTTAGTGTCAGTGTTGCGATAAACCAAACTTGTTTTACAGTGGTGCTGATGGAGAATGGAGATGTCTTCACGTTTGGGTACGGCCAACATGGCCAGCTCGGTCATGGAGACGTTAACTCCAGGTACTCGTTTTGAGCTTAAACAAGCAATTTTACAATGTTAGAAATGATTCACTTACATCTTAAACAATTTGAATTTTATAAGAAGTTCTATGTTTTTTATGATTCTTCAAAAAGGAGAATCATTACACACATTTCCTTCCAGGGATGCTGGTATTTCTTTTTCTTGGGGGGGTCTTTTTCTATTGCACTTTTTCCTTCTCTAGTTTCTATGGATGCGTTTGGATGCAGCATTATGTAAACCCCAGCTTCTTTAACGATTTCCCTACTTTGACTTAGCCACATTGTGGAAAGTGTTCTACAGGCTACCCTTGATTGTTTAGCATGCTAACCCACACTCAGAGACCATTTAGAAGGTCAGGAAACCTTTTGTTGAATGAATCAGCTGATTAAAGCATGACACCACAAATATTCAGTAAATTAGTGTATTTTTTTATATTAGTAAAGTATAGTCATCAAAATTACAAGAAGTAAAGGTTTGAACGTTTTCTTTTTATATTAATTCATTTTTTTATTTTAATTAATTTTGTTTAGCTTTTAACAATATTCAATTATTTGTGGATGTGCCTGTACAGAAATAAGGAAATCAACTGAAGTTCTGTAGCTCAGATCTATTTAAAGGATAAGGTTGTTGAAATAAACAGACTAATTCGATGTTTCCACCATCAGAGGCGCTCCGACTCTCGTCCAGGCTCTGCCGGGACCCAGTGTCCAGGTGACTGCCGGCAGTAACCACACAGCCGTTCTCCTCCTGGATGGGCAGGTCTTCACTTTTGGGAGCTTCTCGGTGAGAAAATGTTTTCAAACCATCTTCAGCACAACATGGTTCAGAATTCTCACTGCATGGTGAACCTTGCAATAATAAAAAAAAATGTATTCTAAATGTTTTTACTCTTCCTTTGTAGAAAGGGCAGTTGGGCCGTCCCATCCTAGACATGCCCTACTGGAACGCCAAGCCATCGCCCATGCCAAACATCGGTGCCAAATACGGACGGAAGGCCACCTGGATCGGTGCCAGTGGAGACCAGACATTCCTGCGGATCGACGAGGCGCTCATCAACTCTCATGTCCTCGCTACTTCTGAGATCTTTGCTAGCAAACACATCATCGGACTTGTACCCTCTTCTGTGTCTGAGGCGCCTCCTTTTAAATGTTTGTTGATCAACAAAATGGATGGAAGCTGCAGAACTTTCAATGACTCCGAGCAGGAGGACCTGCAGGGGTTTGGACTCTGTTTGGACCCCGTTTATGATGTCATATGGAGGTAAATCCTTGGACTATTTAAATAGAATATATATATATTTTTTTTGATTGTAAGATGAAATACATCTCCTAAATGCAACTATGTTTATAGGTTCCTGCCAGCCTCAAAAGAGATGTGGTGCTACAATGCAGTAATAGCCGATGCTAGGGTTCCCTCGGCAACAGATCTACAGGCTCGCTGTAGCATCCTCAGTCCAGAGCTAGCATTGCCCTCTGGATCGCATGCAGCCACCACTCGCTCTCATGGAGCCCTACACATCCTTGGTAATCATCTGCCAGATTCGGACTATTTATTAAAGGCCTGGCTTTCCCTATACTAATATGATACGATTAATACGTCTTCTCTGGAGAGAGAAAGCTTTTATGTTTTGATAAATATTGCCACGTGGGTGTCTTGTGAAAAGAAGGGAAACTTTTATCTAAATTTTTTTGTTTTTAATATGCAGAGCTGTTGTTGTAGCTCCTTGTATTCCAAACATATTCATCACTTCTTTTTATTTTTAATATGCAAGTTTAGATAAAAACAGTTAACAAAACTCTATTCTCTCACTGCAGGTTGCCTGGATACTTTAGCAGCCATGCAGGAGCTGAAGATGGGAGTTGCAAGTGCAGAAGAAGAAACCCAGGCCGTCATGAAGGTCTACTCAAAGGAGGACTACAGCGTTGTAAACCGCTTTGAAAGTAAGATGGAGTTCACGCTGACAGGGCAAACTAATGCAAAGGCTTTTGCTTTGTTTCTTTTTTTCCACTCTGTCCTGCTGATAAAGATCCCTTTCCATCCATCCTTCCTTTAATCCATTAGTTTTGTTTTGGGGTTTAATGATTAAAGACCAGAATTATTTTTTTTGTTTCTGTAATCCAAATGTGTAGTTTAGAGTGAGTTTTTTTTTTTTTCTTCTTTTTATTGACATATTAAAACATTTTTCTTTTACCGTATTTTCACGACTATTAAGGCGCACTTAAACGTCTTTTTTTTTCCTCAAAATGTGCGGTGCGCCCT